GAACAGTGTCTTCTCGCTGCGTCACACCCAGCGCCCACCTCTGTATCTGCCAGTACTTCTTCAAAGGATGCTGATTGGTCCGCTACCACTATACTGACCACAAACACATAGATTGAAGCCTGGAAAGATTCTTGAGGGTGTTTCTTGTTCTACTCCATCAATTTTGATCCTTTTAAAAAAAAAAAAAAAGAACTCAACAGGGGGCCCTAACAGAAGATTTCTGGCCTGGGGCCCCCAAACAACTGAATCTAGTCGTGTAGGAGAGGAAGGGTGAAAATAATCACACAGGTAATAAAAATGAGGGGTAGAGTGGAAAATAGGTTGAGAAAGCTATTTCATGTGTCAGGTAGTCAAAAAAAGTTGTCACAATTCATTTAAAACCCCAAAAGAAGCCTGTGAGTTTCTGGCTGGCTAACAATGCGACGCAACTCCTCCAGGGAACGAGTCGCCGCAGAGGTGGCACACTGCTGTGTGAGATGACAAACGTTCGTGACAGCTCAGAGGACTGGAAGCAAAGATGTGGGCGTGTATCTGCTGTGTATATAACCACCCGCCTGCTTCCTCAGCCAGTTTACCACTCACGAGGCATGTGGTGGACGACCGGGGCTTATTCCAACATAAATAAAGTCTCTGATCCTTCTTGGGATGACGAATTTTATAAAGATGGGATTCTTTGCGGCCGGGAAAGGGGTTACAATGGTAAACCAAATGGCCGCAAGTAGATGTATGGGACTGATTAGGACCCTGGAAATGAGATTAAAGAGAGATCTACCAACAGATTGAATTGTATTTGCCATAATTGCTGAGAACAGCTTATTCAGTGCAGACCGCAAAAAAGGGAATCATAAAATTGAGGAAGAAGGAGGAGTAGAGAGGAGGAACGGCTGCCACTTGAAACCAGCAAGCTTTTCTCAAAGGAATCAAACCCAGGACAAGTCTTGTATCAATTAGAGGGTGTGTGCATGTTGTGTGTTTGTGTGTGTGAACAGAGGATGGGATAAGGGATGAATTAGCTCTTACTCATAAACTTCGAGGTTGGCTCAAAGCTTGTATTAATGATTTTTTTGTAGTATTAGTAATCTTATTTTCAAAAGCAAAGGCCAATTTAACCACATTGTACTTTTTAAATGGAAAATTCCCCTGTGCTCAGTGACTGTGCATGGCATGAATTTATCTGAAATGAGATAACTGAAATAGCCATGACCTCTGTTCTCAGCATCCCGTTGAAAAGAGCTTTAATGAAAAATAAATCTTGTGAAGAGAAAAAGACCAACAGACAAATCAATAGAAGCACAGGCTCAGAGATAAAAGTGAGCGCTGTGTGCCAAAGAGCTACTCGCTCTCATTCCTGGGTTGATTGTACTTAAAGTGAAACCACATGAACTGAGCTGTTCCCACAAGGGAAGTAAGAGTGTGTGGAGTTAAAAAAAAAAGAAGCACACATACAGTATACTTTACGACTTACAGCCCTTAAAAACTTTGTATTTCTATGTAACATTAAATATTTGTGACTAAATGAACAACAATCAACATAAAAGTTCAGGAAAACATACTTATAATCTGCTTTAACCGATTGTTCGGGGATCACTTGATCAGATTTATCTGACTTCGACCAATTTAAATATTGTTAAAACCTGATTGGTTCTCAGAAGTTTGTGTTGTCCCTAGACTGTACAATTAAAAATAGAGTCGTTGTGACGCTCAGTGTGGTCAGCTCTGGCTGTCGTTATCTTGACTGTCCGGACTCCGCCAGCTCCCACTTATCACTAAACACAAAGTACAGCTGAGGGCTAATGGGAATATCATTAGTTCTGCAGGTATTGAATCAAAATATTGAACAAAGTTTGACCAGATGGTGGCACTAAATGAAGTCAGTGGATCCATGAATGTCCCTACCAATATTGTATGTATCGAGATATTTTACAGCACTGGAACTTTGACCTGCTGAGGAAACGTCAGTAGGAATCGTTCACTGGTGGAAAATAAAGTTTTACCGTGTCTGTAAAACATTAAATGGTAAACCATCCAATAATTGTTCAGTCTGGACCACACACACCGCTAGTGTGGCTAAAAACTGCAGAAGGTTCTTAGTAAAGAGAAAATACAAACAAACAAAGATGTAGTTTTCTATGTTAGGCACTTTTATTGATTTTGTATTATTGATTCACAAACACAAATATTATTGCTGAAGAAAACAACCAGTTTAAACAGATTGCAATACAGTACATTTATTTAGAGATTTAAGTGAATTGAATTTATAGTCTATGTTAACGGTAAAGTGAGGGAAGAAAGAAATATTCAAAGAAAATAGTGTTAATCCCTAACATGTGCATAACAAAGAGGTATTGTTTTCTAAACCATTAAAACAGAGTTTTTTGGCCACAATATAAAAACGGAGAGCAAGAACTTGGTAAGGTGTGTTAACTAAAAGATAAAGACAGGAGTGCTTCGAATAACTAATCGTTAGGGGGGGTTGTCTATCCACATAAATAAAGGAATCTGTTCTACTCTTATCAAATGGCATCCTATGGTAAATGTTACCCTGAACGTGTTTTGTGCCGCTCTACTTCCAGACCTGCTGAATATCAGAATTGTCACACTGTAGTACAGTTATTAAAGTAGTACAAAGCTATGAAAAATATATCAGTGTAAAGGCATAAGAGACTTGCTCAACAATCACAACACCACTACAGTACACTACACCATCAAGAGTCACAAAGAGCTGGCTCAGGGGTACGCAACCCTTGTTCTAGGAGAACTGCAAAGATCACTGCTGCATGAATCAGCTTATTTTTTTTTTTTAATTCAAGATTCAGCTGGGACATTTACTATCAGTAAAAGTGGTTTGGTTTAACTGTAGCAATGCAAAGCAACAAATATTAGTAGATAAAGCAAAGTCAATTTACTTTTACATTCACATTTAATACTCTCTCAGCTATCTGTTAGATATATAATAAATTTTCCTGGTGTTGGATACAAGCATGCAGATATTACAGCCTCCAAAAACAACTACTGCCTACCCCTGGGCCACACTGATCATTACAATTTCTATCAACTTGGCCTGCCAAGTCTCACCACTAGAGGACACTCTGGTTTCAACAAAAAGGACGACGTGCCACTGCAAATTGTAGGACACAGCAAGACATCTCCACTTCACACTCCCATGACTCAAATCCAGCATAAACCATATCCAGACGTATGTAACCACATTGTGTGAGTGACATGACTGTCAAATCTGCACATCAAATACACCAAAGTGGCACCACAGTAGTTTTAGATTTGGATGATTTTGCCCTCTTCAGGTCTTTGGATTGTTCTGAAAATACTATTTTGGACCTCCAGAAGATGATAACTGACAAAAAATGAGTACAGTCTCAAGAAAGTAGCTTTAGTGTTACAACTGACATGGACAAGGTTAAAGGATGGGTTCAAGTCTGGGTTAAAACAATACTCAGATGTACATTAAGAGAGTTATTGGATGCTGTAATCATTCCTTCTGTCTATACAGGACATGAAGGGATCCCCTAGTAATGCTATTTCAATGGAAGATATGGGGGGAAAAATAGGAGGCTTCAGCAGCCAGAATTGGTCAAATCATTTGGATAACTTCCACAGTTACAGAGAGTCTAGTGCAGAATTTACTCTTTTTGTTAGTTCTGTCCCTGCTGCTCAGCAAGGAGACACTATCTGGGGAAATTCTTGAAAGCAACCCACTTGATGTGACTAATTCATACTGCTGAAGCCTCACATTAGCCGAACACACTTAAAATGCATTTTTCTCTCCATCTCTTCCATTGAAATCATTAGAAAGGGACCTCTTCACTGCCAGTATGGACAGGATGAATCGTAACAGTGACCTTCAATGCACATATGGACTTCTGGGTATTGAACTTAAGGATAGATAATGTTTTTTAAGTCTGTTACGACGCCCATATGTACAGTGAAACAGGTTTTGCTTGCTGTAATCATTCTAGGATTCTTCTTTTTTAGTTATTTTCACTGCAGCTCAACAAGGAAGAAGATGCTAAATGGAAATTTAACACTAAAAAGACAAACTCTGGAAGAAATCCACTTGATTTTACCAACTTGTGTTAACTTCAGATAACCTTCTGAATCATTTTTTTGTAAGGGATCCAGAGCTTTATCCCCCCTTGCTTACACTGGAAGTGCATGAGGAAGGGATCCTTTCATGGCCAGTATGAACAGTAGGACTGATTACAGCAAGCAAAAGCTATTTCAGCGTTCATACATCGGACTGTTTAAAGACTTATCCTTCAAATTCCAGCAAACCGTTAAACACAAAAACATACTGCATGAGAGCTGACTGTCAGGTGGGAATGTGAAAAGTGGTATTTGTGTTCATGTCCATTTTACATTTCAGCTGAGCATTTTCAAGAGTGAGTTATCTATGAAAGGGACCTACATTTCAAATAACTCCCATATCTCTGAATATAAAGGGTTAAAGCCACATTAAAATTACACAGGTTTGCATTATAATTTCTAGTAGATTTGACAGAAATGTACAGAATCGCATTTTAACATATGGTACTGTAAAAGAACTTAAAATGTTCCTGCATACGAGTAGATCATTAAGTCAAAATGAGTTCACAGCTCAGTATGATACAGGAATCAATATAATAGCGTTATTTTTAAATAATCTGAGATTTCCTTTGCTGAAGGTGCAGCAAAGGAACACATTTGTATCTAAAATCTACAGTTACAGTTTTACCCACAACACAGAGATTGAGATATTTGAGAACCAAAGTGCAGCCATACTACAAAAAAAAGCCTGCTTGGAGAAAATTTTCCAAATGACAAACACATGCGCACGCGCACACACACACACACACACACACACACACACACACCCCTCTTTCCATTCATGCAAATGCA